GCCTGAATGCCTATGGGTGAATGTGGGATTACTTGAATTAGAACAATTCATTGAAATGCGAGTTTTTAAGCCCACTTGAGAGTGGCAAAATCATGTTTTCTAAGCCCACTTGAGGGTGGCAAATCCCCGTCTTAGCCTACTTGCGAGTAGCACTTTCAAAACCATTTTCAAACAAACAAACATGAGATGTTTTGTTCCAATTTAGGCGATCTAGTCTATACTTGTGTGTTGTGCGCATCACATAGTAATTATAGGATAATAACCGGAATAAGAACGCATGTGTTTTCAAAAACAAGATATCATGTTAGTAAAGGCCGATCTTTTATCGAGCGAGCGGGGGTGCTCATTGCATGACCTTCCCCTCTCGTACCTAAGTTCTCGAGCCGAGATAACTTTGGTGATGACAAACACATAGCCTTAGGCAACGAGTCAGGGTTTCCTAAATTTTCCAAAATAAAACATTTAGGTGGTGACTCTGTATCGAGCAAAGCAGTCCATGTTTGACACTTCTTTATAAAAATCAGTTTTCCAAAACGATTTGCCGAATTTGGACTCGTTGGTGATTTATCGGTCTTGTATTGCACTTTGCGAGATTAGATTCAGAACCGTGACATTTGAATCTGAACTGTAGTAGCTCAATGAACAAAACGAATTTCGAGCCATTTTCGCTCGCGGAGCCCGGGACGTTCGGGCGCGTCTACAAGTAGGCTTGTAGTGTTGTAGTCCTCATGGGTTTGGCGATTTAGGCATTAGACACCAACCTATTTGAGTTGATAACCTTTATTTCATAGTTTTTCATACTTGTGCTCACACTTGCAATAACCATCTTTGCACTGTGATAACCCTGCTCCGTATTATGCTAATTAATCTTAATTACGAATGTGATTATGTGTTTGATATGATTTTGAGTGCCATTTATATGAATATATGTGATTTTGAATTTCTATCTGTTCACCGAAGGAATATCTGTTCAACTTACCATTATGAACTGAAAATTGAAGGCCTTGTCAGCCACAGAAACCGAAATTGACTACGCCATTGTGATTAGCATTATTTTTAGAGCCTGCGGTAAAATTTAATTGAAAATTGATTTGGGTCAGAATAATTAGATTCAGAACGATTAATTAAGCTTTATTATTTAACATTAATCAATTTGATTAAGTGAGAGTTTATAAAAAGGGGCACTATACACTCAACTCCTCTCTTTTTATTCAATTTGGCTGAGATTACTCTAAGGAGAGAGAGAGAGAGGGTCGGCTAGAGAGAGAGAGGGAGGGAAAGCAATTGAAGATTCGAGCAAAAAGCTTGGAAATCTTGAAGATTAACTCAAGAGTTGGCTAGAATTTGGGTGTTTGAAGCTCCTAGGTGAGTAAATTCATGGATTTTAGTTTGTAACTTGGTGAATTCAAAGTTGAATGGTGATCAAGAACATGAATTGAATTGACCATAATAAAAATGAGTTGGTTTTGATAAATTGGAAGTCAATATACACATGCATGTAGGAAAATGCCATAAATTTGTATGTTTGAGCTTGAAATACATGATCCATGTTGAATCTTTGATTGAAGTTCATGCTTTTGATCATCTCTTCATCATTTAAATTGAGAATGAGAGCTATATCTCACATGCATGTACAATTCATAAGAATATGAGTTTTGAATACATGAAATTGTTATGTTGGAAATAAGTTGGCGTAATTTGGGGCATGCATATGATTAATTCATGAAATTGAGCTTCATAATGTGATGAATTTGGTGTGGTATCATGTTAGTAAATGTATGCATGAAGTTTGAGCATAATGTGCAAGATATGTTGATTCGAATGCAAGTTTGAAGCTCAAGAACAGTTTTGGAAAACCCAGAATTTGGCATGTCTGCTCGAGCGGAGAAAGCGACGCTCGAGCGTGAAATACGAGCTCCCAGAACTTTTTGCAGACATGGATGTCCGCTCGAGCGGAGAGATTCACGCTCGAGCGGGGAGCCATGTAGTGTGACCTTCAGCTCGAGCATCCGAATTCACGCTCGAGCGTAAAAATGAGGTAACCAGTACTTTTGCAGACCATGAGGGTCTGCTCGAGCGGCGGAACCCACGCTCGAGCGGGGACCCCTGTTTCAGAAATTTTGTAAAAGTGTTCTGTATTTCATTTTCCGTTCTCTTTCATTTCTGAGCACTCTTAGGCATGCATTAAGCATTGTAAATGAGTTAAAAGGATAAGAAAGAAGCCTAAGAGGGATGTATGAATTAAGAACGGATTGAATCGTTTGTGACCCATATGTGTTCTATAATGTGTAGGGTCGAGCTCAAGGGTGAATCCACTAGCAGAACACTGTGAGTATATCTTAATAAAGATATCCAAACTATGTTATTTGTCCAATTGTTTACTTTCTTATATGTCTTGTAAGTTTGTTACATTGAATTGGGGACAAATATTTGTTATGCCATATGATTGGGCCAAAGGCCGTTGGATACAATTGACTGGGCCGAAGGCCGTCTGACATGAATAACAGCCTGACATAAATGATAGTCTGACACGAAAGATAGTCTGACATATGAATGAATGGGCCAGAGGCCATATGACATGAATGATTGGGCCAGAGGCCGTATGACGCAAATGAATGGGCCAGAGGCCGTATGACGCAAATGGATGGGCCAGAGGCCGTATGACATGAATGAATGGACTAGAGGCCGTATGACGCGAATGAATGGGCCAAAGGCCGTATGACGCAAATGAATGGGCCACAGGCTGTTTGACACGGATGATTGGGCCACAGGCCGTTGGATAGGAATAGTTGGGCCAAAGGCCGTCGGACATGAATGAATTGGGCCCGAGGCCGTTTGATGTGTTTGGAACTGCAGTTACTTGACCTATGTATATATACATTAGATAGAAATATGAATTGGGCCCAAGGTCGTCTGTTGTATATTGTTCTAGTGTATCTTTTTTATTCGATATTATTTACTAGGCTTTCGCTCACGCTCATTCATGTGTCTGTAGGTTAGCCAAAGGAGGTCCAAACCCAGCCTCAGTGAAGTATGTGAGAAACAATTAAGGTTTTGGAGAGTCAGCCCAAATGTCTCATATACGAGACTTGTCTTCGCCTCGTTTGCTCTTTTGATATGGTTTTGTTATATTGGCGAAAACAACAGATTACTTTTGTATATAAACTTTAGGTTGACCGACTTAGACTTAATGATCCTGTATGTACAGAACTTTGTGTTATTACTTATTTTGACGTGAGTTATTAACATGTATGTATATGGATTGTTTTGATGTGCCATGTAAGCACAGCTCTATGGACAATTTGTAAGTTTGCTTCTGTTTGGCCCCTTTACTCTGATGAGTTATGTCTGATTTGGTTTGAGGCCGTAGGTAATCCCTTGATTACTGGCCGGCTATGTCCTTAACCCATAGGGGCGGATTCGGGTCATGACATGCACTCTCCCTCCTTTCTTGGTTTTTCTTTCCTTTGTTTAAGAGTTGGTTCAAACAATTGATGGTTGTTTAAGGCAAGCTGAAAAGACCTTCCATACTTAATGGTTTAATCTCTTTGGAGGTTTATTACCAAGGCATTACATCTCTCGCATGACAAGAACAACTTCTTGTTTGACACTTCTCTTCATTAGTAGACATAATTATCACTTTTGGACAAAATGATTAAGGAATGGAAAGGAAATTAAAAAGGGGTTAATAAAAATAGACTAAAAAAGGTACAAGATAATAAAATCAAGTCGGGTTCAATCGGACATTAATTGAACCTGTTGAGTTTGAGACATTTCATACTCTTTAGTGATGATAATGGCTCAAGAATCAATGTCAACTACTTCCCTTAAGATAACTCCATGAAATGGAGGAGGTTTTGTTGGTCTTTTATTTCCATTCATTGAGTGTTTGTCCCGTCGATTCATGGATCATCATGCAACAACTTTACGACCATTGATAATTTGTGGACTGATTCTACTCCTCCCTTGATCAGTTTCATGATAGGGAGTGGCAGAAAAGATAAACATTCCTTGGAAATACTCTGTTTTTGCTCTGTTTCTATTCTGTTGCAGCAAGGCAGTACCAAAAAATAGTGGCCGGCCGGCCACCCTACCATCTAACCAACCACTTTCCTTAGCCGACCGACCACCTTTTGTTGAGCAAGCAATGCCATTTTCATGGCAAAACAAAGCAAAAGCTGAGGCAAAAATATATTAATTTTTTGACTGCGAACAGAACAGTTCAGGCAACAGAACAGAGGCGTTTCCAAGCGGATATTCTCGGTTGCACATGTGGTTCTTCGACTCCCGTTCGAATTAATTTGGCTTAATTGCTCTTAGATTAATTAGCATATTGTAATTAATCAGCTTAAATTCCTTTTGAGTTTGGAATAGCTAGTTAACCTAGTTAATTGCTCTTAGATTAATTAATATGTTGTAATTAGTTAGTTTAATTCTAATTTGTAATAATTAGTTAATTTAGCTTAGTTAATTATTTGGAATTGTAATAGTTAGTTAAAATTCGGACATTTGGATATTCGGACCCTCCTACGCGAGGGCAACTTGTAATATTGTGTATGTCTTCCAACCTCCATTTCTTTCTCCCATTTATTTACTCGCTTATGATGGATAGCATATGGCATCATGTTTTCCTTACCATTTTCCATGACTCGCATCCATTCGTTTTGCATACATGAAGGGTTCGGCTCATCATACTAATCAATGTCAATTTCAAATTCCTTACTCGAATACGTGATTTGTCACATGTCTTGAATTGACTCACATGCCATGCTAGTAGCCGAGCCTATTAATTGCATATTGCATGCATTGCATTAGTCATTTGCATCGGTAGGATCATTGTCATGACCCAAACCCGCCCCTATAGGTTTAGTGTCGTAACCGGTCAGTAATCCTAGATTACCTTCAGCCTCAAAGAAAAAATTTCAAAATATTTAAATCATATCGGGGCCTAAAGCGGAAACAAAACAAAAATAATAATGTCCACTGAGCTTGTGCATACATGATGACTAAAATAATTAAAACATTTAAAAACAATAATAATTTATATACATATACAAATCTTATATATCTCACATGCATACATTGAAAACTCAGCAAAATACAAAACTCTAACAAAGCTAAGGGGCTGATTTTCTTGGCGCTACTCGAGCCTAACTTGTCCCATTCCGGAAGCTCTTCAAAAGACTGACATGGGTAGACTCCGAAACTTTCTCTATCCTTGTTGCTCAATTTGCTCACTTACATATACATATAAATAGTGAGCTAAAGCCAACCAGTAATAACAGAATAAAGAGGTTAAATAAATGAAGTTCGGCGATAATACAAAAACCTGTCTTACGATTTCGAAACAAATCTTAACTCATTTTCAAAGTAAGGCATTTGCCATATTATATCAAACTTTATAACAAAACATTTTCCATATCAAATTATATATTTCAATTTTCGAATCAATCCATGTCAATAGGCAAAACAATTCGATTAGCCGTCATATCAATTCTTTGCAACGACAAAAACCATTGTTTGATAGCATTTTCAAATTCAATTCTCAATGATCTATGTTATCTCAATATCAATACTCAATTCAATGACAACAATGGGACCTCAAGGGTCAATCAATGGGACCATAATGGGTCAATCAATATATCATATCCAATGTGACCATTAAGGTCTAACAGCAGAGATCTATGTATTTCAATTATCCAATGGGTCACGGTATTATTTCCCTTGGGTGAAGGCCAATGGGCCATCGTATTTATTTCCCCCAGGCAAGGGCCTCTTTATCAATGGGTCATGGTATTATATCCCCAAGGCGAGGGCCTATTAAGCAATGGGCCATGGTATTATATCCCCCAGACAAGGGCCTCACTAAAGGATGCCACAAATACATTTTCAAAAGGGAACTTCATTCATTCATAAGAAACTAAAGTTTCAAGAACCATTCGATGAACAATAATAGGTTTGATAAATCATCATGACGTTTCAATAAACCATTCGTTTCAATAAGCCATTCAATCATTCATATATCAATTTTAATAACAATAACATTTTCAAAAAATAATTATAACTCGAACATATCTTTATAGAGTCATTACTCACAGTGGGTTAAGTCGATATAAGGCCTTGGACGTCCACCTATACAAATCACATAACAAAGATACAATAGAAGCACCATTCAATATCCATTTCATTTTAATTCAACTCTCTTTATGTGTTTCTAACCGGTGCCTAAGAATACTTAGAATGCCATGAGGATGCAAATAGGCATTTAAAAGAGTTAGTTAAAAAAAAAAAAAAATTGCTGAGAATAAGGTCTTCGCTCGAGCACACCTTTGGTCGCTTGAGCGATCTGCAAAACTTTATAAAAATACGGGATGGCCTCAATGTTCGCTCGAGTGGTGACTCTTCCGCTCAAGCAGTTTACAAATTTCCTGTGCTTTTTTTGTTTTTTGTTTTTTTTTTTGAAAACCAACAAAAATAATTTTCAAACACATTTTCAAAATTTAGACTCTTGCATGAACCAATTTAAACATGTAATTTTATTAATAAAGATGAACCCGTGACTAATTTTCCAATTTCTACTACAAAAATCTCTTTGATCATTAAGATTAAAACCAATAATTTCATGAATATAATAATTCCAACATTCTTCTTTTTTTGTTTTATAAAACATAAATTAAAGCTATAAAGCCCTTTCAAAAATATTTACATGTAAGAAATTTAAATCAAAATCAAACTAACTTTTGATTCTCAAATATAAATTATAATTTATTTTTAAATTTGTCCAAATTTATATTTAATTCATTTTCTCCATATTGACCCAATTTCAAACCTACAAATTTTAAAACATGAATTGAACTTTCAAAACTCTTATGTTATGTTTGGTTGAGGGATTTGGAAAGGGAAAGGGAAAAGGTAGGTGAAATGTAAATAAAACATGCTTATATTTCACCTAGCTTCACACACATTTTCCCTTTCCTTTTCCAAATCCCTCCCCAAATCTCCCAACCAAGCACAGCATTAAAAAACTCATGATATATGTACAATTGAAATTCAATTTCATGTTAAGACAACTAAATTCAAACCTAAAGTGATTAATCTCTAAATTAATTTTCATGAATTTGAACTTAACTCCATTGCATGAATCTTCAAATAAATCATGTTGCATGTAATTTATGAGACTCAATTCAAGAATAATTCTCAAAATTAAACTCAAATTTAACCAATCTTAAGAATCACAACTCATGTTCTTCAACCTAACTTGATTTTACATGCAAAATCCAAATTTTTATCAATTTATATGATTGATCTTAAAATCTTTATTTTTAATCCTCTCAAAATCCACATTGAATCAATTTTTGTCTAGATAAATTAAACAATACTAGAAAAGTGATGGAATTCCTTACCTCATGATGAATTTTCCATAATTTTTAACTTGAATTTTGATATCCCACAAACTTTCTTCTTTTCTTCTTCTTCCTTGGGTTGAACTCTCTCTCTCTCTCTTTCGGCTGCTTCCAGCAACCTTGTATCTCTGTATCTCCCCTCTTTGAATCTCATTCATTCTTGAATTCCCTCTCTCTTCCTCTTTCGGCCTCTCTCTCTCTTCTCTATGTTTTTTAATCTAATTTGCAGCACATATATCTCTCACACACACACATACACACACACACAACTTCTCTTGATGCATCCACACTACACACGTGCACATGATCCAAGCTGCCAGCACAACACCTATACACATATATTTGATTTCTCTGCCCACCCATACACACTCACAATTCTAGATTCTTCATTAATTTGATTTATGATTAAGATTAGATTAATTAAATAACACGTAGTCTTCATAAATCTTAATTAACACATAATTAAATTAATTAAAACTAATCATAAATTCCACATAATTTAATTAGTCTAATTTGACTTCCATTAAAGCCCAATTAAGTATAATTAAATTTATCAACTGCATCAGATTTTTAATCAGTTTTCTAAAAAGGCTCCAAATATTAAATTAAATTCATTTCCATCATCAATTTTGGTTTCTTAGATCTTTAACGCCTTTAATTTCTAATCAAACCCAAAATCCTTGTCAATAAATTTCATATTCAAGTTGGATACATCATAAATAGATTTAATTCATAAGAATCTCAATTCCCAATCTTCATATCTTGATCAACTCCAATTCGGACACAATTAATAAAATTTCAATTTTATTAAACTGAATTGAATAGTTAATTAAACTCTTATATGGTCCGATATTCGAAATTAAAATATTTCAATTCGTCAATTTCACCTTCTTGAGCCACTTAAGCTTTTACTTTCTAATTCCAAAATAACTCTTTTATAAAATTATATACAAATCAACCTCAATACTGTTTATCAATTCCACAATTAAATCGAAATAATAATTAATTAAAATCCAAATCACTTTGATTAATTAAATGTAAAATATTATATGTGGTGGGTCGTCACAATCATGCATTTTTCTAACTATTGTTCTTCTATTTTGGCTTGCCTCAGTTGAGTACTAGGTGAATATTTTTACTTTAGCATACTGTATGCGTGTGATTGTTGCCATGTCAATCATGTTTACCATAAGGCTAAGTGCTTAATTGAGATACCTATTTGAAATGCCTGTGGATGAAGGTTTTTTTGCTTAAATTGGAATAATTTGATTGATGTACATGTGAGCTTACTTTTTCAAGTAGCACATATGCAAAACACTTTTCAAAACCAAATATGAAATCAAAGCGTTCCAAATTTTGCGAATTAGTCTATACTTGTGTGCATCACTTATTAAAGATAGCATAATAATCAGAACAATAGCATATACTGTACATAAGAATCACATCATGATTAGTAGAGGCTGATCTTTGATCGGGTGAGCGGTGTACTCAATTCATGACCTTCCCCTCTCATACCTAAGTTCCCGAGCTGAGAAACTTTGGTGATGACGGATAAGTGGCTTTTGACACGAGTCACGGGTTTCCTAAATTTCTCAAAAATATTTAGGTAGCGATTCTGAAATCTGACAAAGCGATTTATTTTTGGCATTTTTTATTCAAAATCAATTTTCCAAAAAATGTGTCGAATTTGGACTCTTTTATGTTTATCTATTTCACATTGCACATGTAAAATCATATTCGAAACCACGGGAGTCCGAAAAGTAGAGCTATCTTATCCGAGGAGACTAAACCCCTCCGAAGAGCACGAAAAGCAAGCTACATTTGGGCACATCGAATTGCTTTTAAAACTCACTTAGGCAGTTCTCCTTTTCGACTTGTTTATGGAAAGGCATGTCACCTACCAGTGGAAATGGAACATAGAGCTTATTGGGTAATTAAAAGTTTGAATTACAATCTTGACATGGGTGGCTCACATCACCGTTTGCAAATCAATGAGTTAGAAGAGCTTAGGAGAGAAGTTTATGACAATTCTAGAATACACAAAAAAACGAGTTAAGGCATTTCATGATCAAAATGTTTTGAGAAAATCCTTAGAGCCTTCCCAAAAAGTTCTTTTGTACAATTCAAGATTGTTTTTATTTCCTGGAAAATTGAGATCTCGTTGGTCAGGACCTTTTATAGTGAGATAGTTTTTCCTCATGGCGCAATTGAAATTGAAAATCCTAAAAATGGTAACATTTTCAAAGTAAATGGACAACGTTTGAAACCATTTCTAGAGAATTTACCTGATGAAGAAACAATTAAGGAACTCTCTGATCCTACTTACCTAAATCCTCCTTTTAAATCCCTTCTTTGACAATAATAATTGTGTACATAGTTTTTTGATCATTTCTTTTCTTAATCTTTTTGTAGGATTAGTTGTGTTTGATGTTATTATCATCTTGGAATCTGACGTTAAAAGACCACTAGAAAATTATTAGTAGTAGTAGTAGTATTAGTATTATTATTTTGAAGGGAAAAAAAAAAAAAGATGAGACTAATTGATAGTTTTTCATTTTGCATCCCCCCTCCTCCTTGTATTACTAACACATTGCAGGCACAACAACTCTGATTCATCGTTTACGGTAAACCCCTTCCTTTTTTTCTTTTTTTTTCTTTTTTGACGTTGAGGACAATGCATCGTTTAGATTGAAGGGACGTGTTTGTTTGCTGCGTTGTCATTTTATTCTTTTTAAAAAAAAATGACCCTAATTTTCTTATTACATATGCATGGTATCTAATATCATACTTCTGTTGTGCTGGTTTTGATTGCGCAAAAAAATGTTGGTTTATGGATCATTAGGATATTTGATATGAAAACACCTGAACTAAAGGAACTTTTGTTTAGTCTTTCACAGTTATCTTTGGTTGGTGAAAAATTCATGGGGTGAGCTTTAAAATTTCACATGCATATCGGTTTTATCTCTGGCGGTTGAAGTTTAATACTTCGGGATGTAATGTGCTATCATCTTAGAGAAATTTGAATGAATAAATGTGTGTAAACCTTGAGTAGTAATGTTGAAATGAATAAAATGACAAATTAAATAATTCTTGAAGTGGATTTTATTTTTAATTAGACTTTAAATCTTCACTTGGTAATCATTGCAATCCATTCAGACCTTGTAATAAGCAAAAAGGATACCAATGGGAATAGAGTGAGAGCTACCTTATGCTTTATAATTCTTTGAAAAGTAGTGAATAAAAATTTTGATGAGCTAAGGAGAAGGCTGCCTACCCCACTTGAGTGAAAGCCACGTTTATCTAAAGTTTGAAAGCTTCAAGAGTTAAAAATATGGCTCGACTAAAAATCTTTCTACTATACTTGGTTTTACCATGTCTTATAAGTTTAAAGGTCCTTTGATGATAGTAAGTGCATCTTTTGTTTAAATTTGAGTTTGAAGGAGTGTTTAAATCTTATCACACAAAAGAAAATTGATGAATGGTTTACTAAAAATTGACAGAGTGAGACGGACTTGGCGAAATAACTAAAGTTCGAATAGGGGGATTGAAATCTCAAATGTAGAAATGATCCAGTAACCTTAGTTGATGTGATTTCATTAAGTGTGACAACGGTAGGTGTAGACGCGCCCGAACGTCTCGAGAGAATCCCGAGAAGTTCATTAGGCTTACTACAATTCGGACTCAATGTCACGATTCTTAATCTGATCTTGCAAAGTGCAATGCGAGATTGATAAATCCCCAAAAAGTTCAAATCCGACAAATCGTTTTGAAAATTTGATTTTTAGAAAGAAGTGTCAAACATAGACTGTTTTGCCAGATACAGAGTTGCCACCTAAATATTTTATTTTAGGGGAATTTAGGAAACCCTGACTCGTGCCTAAGGCCACGTGTCCATCATCACCAAAGTTGCCTCGGCTCGGGAACTTGGGTACGAAAGGGGAAGGTCATGCAATGAACACCCTCGCTTACCCGATCAAAGATCGGCCACTACTAAACATGATATCTTGTTTTTGAAAACACATGTGTTCTTATTCCGGTTTATTAGCCTAGAATTACTATGTGATGATGCGCACAGCATACAAGTATAGACTAGATCGCCTAATTTGGAACAAAACAGCTCAAGTTTGTTTTTGAAAGCGGTTTGCTACTCGCAAGTAAGTTAAAATGCGGATTTTGCCACCCTCAAGTGGGCTTAAAAAATATGGTGATTTGCCATTCTCAAGTGGGCTTAAAACTCGCAATCAATGAATTGTTCCAATTCAAGTAATCCAACCTTCACCCGCAGGCAATCAGGCAGTTATATCACATAAGCAAATAGCCTCATGGTAAGCATGCTATCATGGCAGTCACTCACACACATGCAAGGATGCTAAGGCATAAACACTTACCGAGTACTCCGAGCCAAAACAAAAGCTATGTTAGAAATCAGCTATGTCAAGAATGCCTAATGCAACACATGCAAAATACAACTAAAATAGGCTCGGCTATTCTAAAATGTAATGTGAAATGCAATTTGATACATGTATTCAAACAGGAATTGAATTACAATGCAGTTAGCATGATGCACCGAGCCCGGTGCATGCAAGAGAAATGATGGATGCATGCATGCAAAGCATAAGGATGCTAATTGAAATGTGCCCTAAAACTAACCATCGTAAGCTGGTAAATAAAAGAGAGAAAGAAATGGGGGTTGGAAGACATGCATCACACACACGCACACTTATTACAAAATTTGCCCTCTCGACGGAGGGTCTGAATAAATAATACAGAACCAGCTAGCTAATCTAAGCTAATCTAATTAAACTAGTTATTACACGACGAAATGAATAACAAGTTACAACTACTAATTACACAACATTAACTAAGTAAGCAATCTAAATGAGCATGCAAACTAAATGAATGTGGGTTGCCCCAGCTCTATTTTGAATGACAAAGGATGCATGCATGCTTGAATTGCCTTGTTCGGAAATCCCTCGTGACGCCCCGACTTGTCTCTGTTTGCAATTAACCTCAGAACACTGCACAAAGCTCCAGAAGGCTGAAACTCAACCCTGGGAATCTGTGGGAAGGCTACCGACCAGCTATTGGCCTTGGAGACCACTTGCCAACCACTTTTGTGGTGAAAAACCAAAAAAAGTGGTCGACCAGCCACTAAATCTGGTCAGCCGACCAGTTTCTGCCCCTAGTTTCTGGTTTTCTG